AGGCTCTCACATCACCAAGCGCGAAGCGCCGTGAGGTATTCGGCGAGTCCCATGAAGGGGGGGGGGGGGGCATACCCCTTGGTGCTTGCCCAACGTGCTTTTCATGAACATGATTCTCTTTCCAAACAGGGCAAAAAGGTAACGGTAATTAATTACTTTGGGGGTAACTTGGGGGAAAATTTCCCTTCCCGGTGAAAATGGGGGTACTGTCCTACTCCCAAGGCAAAAAACATATCTGCTGAAGGCTACGGATCATTCTGCTGTCCTGACCAAAACTTCGGGAACCCCCACTCGGGCTAGTGGCCTATGGGTGAGAAGGAGGTGCAGCACAACCGGTAGACTTACCACACGCGTCAGCGCTACTTTTCGTATCCCTTTTGGGGGGGTGTCAAACAACAACATTTTTCTTCGTCCCCAAAAAATGCAAGTATGCACCAACAAACTCAGGTGTCCGAAAAAATAGATACGATGGCGGGTTGCTGAGAAACGGAGGGTATATTGGAGGCCACACTTACACCAGCCAGGTCCGCAGGAGTTAGCCTGTTTTCCGGTGATACCCGCCGCGACGCGAAAGCAGCTCCCGGGAGCATCGGTTTGTCATCCACGCTGGAACATGCACACACGTCAGGGAAGGAGAAGAGGCACCGCGGAATGCAGATGTGTAGGTGTGTTTAAGTTAAGGAGATACTTCCTGGAGTCCTCTTGCAAACTGAACAAGCTTCTGCACCAGAAAAACTTGGGGGCGTTCGGGAAGATAATTCGAAACTACAACGCAGAGGAAGTTATGCATGTGCTCAAGAGACTCACCGTACCGAACTCTCTGGTAAGCACACGCGACCAAGTCAGCCTAGCAAGGCTGTGCAGAGTGCGATCCACGTGCATGTCCTACCTTTCGTTCGTTTTCGTCCAGGATTCTCCTGATGCCTGTTGTATATACTTCAAAACAACACACCTTGGCTTGACTACGAAGCATGTGTGCTTTGCTTTGTTTTCGGATTGTACAGCTCGCTAGTACGGGTCTCTTTGCCTTGGGAGAGAACGACAGAAGAGGAGAGTTGCGGCTCAACGGTTACGCATTCGAAGCCAGCCTTCCCCACATCGTCGAGGTCGGCGGTGAAAAAGAAACGCGGATCTGTCCAAAACACCGTACACGGTAAAACCGGGTGGATAATGCACAGCAGACACATGATCAGCCGATTGATAGAGCTCGATTTGCACCACAACCAAAGGAGTTGCCAATGCCGAAAAAGGGGTGGGCGACTTTTGGTAAATATTAATATTTCGTTGAGAGCTTTCCGGTATACACGCGTGGTTGGATTTCGCGACTTGTTAGTTGGGGAGCAAGCGACGAAATATTCAAAAATCGATCGCGCACTCTTGTATTGTTTTACAGACCCTTCGGGTCCATTTTTACTTGAGCTGTACCATTTTTAGGGTAAGTCAATGCTCTAATAGTAGGTGACCGCAGTTCAAGGAATGCTGCTCAACGACCCTGAGCTCTCAGATACATACAATAGTAGGTTGCCGAGCCGTTGAACGCTGGGGTATCTAAGTGCACGCAAACAAGGTGACACTGCTATGGTACAGAGGTCCGAGGCGGTGTGTGTGGTCGTCCCATTTAATCTGACGTACAGTATCAGACGGGGTCACACAAGAGGAACGAAGGTAGGAGCTCTTTTCATTTTATCTGTCTGATTGTTTAGTCTTTTCGTTTTGTCTGTTTGATTGTACAGGAGTAGCGCCCCACACACTCCCCTGCCGTGTTTGCCTTAGTTTTTTTTCGCGAAGGGTCACCCACGGGGCTGAGCGCGGTGTGACATTACATCATACTTCGTACTTTCTCGTGTTACAATTGTATTTAGTTACACTGTAGACTTCATCATATCCAGACTCACCATTTGCGTATCAGTGTACACACGGGACACATGCTATGCGTGCCAAGGCCCTACTCTGTACACCAACACACAGCAGAAGAGCACCCCGATAAACTTTGTTGGCCGCTCGGTAGGGGACTATACCTGACTTACAGCAGTAGTAGTGCGCATAGGACACGCGCCATGAAGCGTGCACGAAGTTCTCGGCGAAGATGTCGGTTTTGTCAAGATTGCCAACGGCGTCTCTTGGGGAAATACACTCTTGCTGCAGAGTACCAGGTATTTTGTTTTGCAGTGTGGGCGTTTTGGTGCTTCACCGTCGTCGGTCATAAGGGGTCAAAGGGCGACAACCGATATCTTTGCTGCTTCGGTGGCACGATTTGACGGAAGAGGGAGCATGTTCAGTTCAAAGGTTGTTGGAAGGAAATTGCATATTGTAATGGTATCATGATTATCATGACTGAAAATACATGCGTTTCCTACGGAGTTTCCGACTCGAAGAACGCCTTGAAGCCGCAAGCGTTTTCTGTTTTTTGGGACCTCTGCGGGTGTCGCAGCACAGGGAGGTTCGCCCATGGATTGTAAGCCGGGAATAGACTAACAAGACCTTGAGCCGCAAGGCCGGCTCTACTAGATACAAGACGAGAACATTGCTGTAGACTACGGTACAAGATTACAACCATTTTCGGACCTCTACTCCCGGTTCATCCTGCATCGCTCCGAAGTTGTGCTTGCTCCCGTTTGTTTGCACAGCAAACAAAAAAAGAACGTAAGTAAGTAAGTGGCAGCAAGCGCACCGCTACACGGGTGTGAGTCGTGCGAGGCCTGTTCCAACCACTACTGCCGTACCTGTGATGTACTTGCATGGATTCGCTCGAAAAACGGCGACGAAAGCAAGAGCAAGCATATTGATGATGGAGTGCAGCAGTTTGGGGCATGTGTGTCAGCGACTCGTGTGCTGAATCCTGCCCCAATCTATTGCCCACGAGTCACCGCATCGGATCCCTCACCTGCTTCTCCCCGACATACCGCTGGGCCAACTTTAATCTCGTTTCCGGTAGTCGCTCGCCGCGCGTGTGTCCCCGCCCTTCTCCTCTCTCCGATGCTACTATCACAACGCAACCAAACCGCAGGCATGAACTTGGGAAGAGAAGAGGCAGCAGAGTCGTTGAAGGTTCAGCAGAGAGCGCTGTCTCGACGTCACGATGTACCCGTGTATGTCCCAATATTTCTCCTTTGGTCTGGAGAAAAAACGGTGACAAGAAAGGATGGTCTCCGAGTTGCCAACGAGGGCGTGAGGAAGAAGACTGAGAGCGACACCGTCTGCTGGTGCTGGCTGCCTCGGAGATGGGCGGCAAGGTGTGCGGGTTGTTTGCGGCCTGCTCTCTCTCCTCTCTGTTTCTGCGTGGTTTCTGTGCGGAAGAAGAATATATTTATGTTTTTTAGGAACAAAAAGAGAAAAGACTGTACGAAGCATCCCCGAGGCTTTTCGACGCAACTTGCTTCTCGCGGTTGGTCTATTTCTTTTGTTTTGTGATTTGCTCAAGAAATTTGGATTATTAGAAAAAGCGACAAGAAATCAGAAACGCCGAAACCAAGAAATATCAAAACCAAAATCCAACCTATGAGCCGAACCATTGAGTTCCTCTCGGACTCGCTAGGAATCACTTATCGGGCCAACCCGACGTCTATGCCCAGGTCATATCCCTTGACAAGAAAACACAAAAGTCAACGCAAATTGGAGAACAAATTTGGGTACTAGACAGATTTTTCTTTTCCCATAGATCCCTCCTCTCTTGAGCGACAGGGTGGGTGGGTGGGAAAATTCGATCAAGTCCCAAACGAAAACTCTTTTCTCTCGCTGCTGCTTTGCTTCACTGCCTTTGCGGGCGATGCAACGTTTTTCCCTTCGAGGTCCTCGGCTTCCCAAGGATCCCAAAAGCTTCTGCCAACCTCTCTCTCTTCTCTGTATCCTGTACATAGCTATACCCCCGTGTACCCTTTTTTGTCTCTCGCCGCTCTTTCACGAAATTTCCGGTACGCTTCCACAAACCACGGATTCACGGTTATACCGAATCCTTCGTTTTGTGATTTGCTCAAGAAATTTGGATTATTAGAAAAAGCGACAAGAAATCAGAAACGCCGAAACCAAGAAATATCAAAACCAAAATCCAACCTATGAGCCGAACCATTGAGTTCCTCTCGGACTCGCTAGGAATCACTTATCGGGCCAACCCGACGTCTATGCCCAGCTCATATCCCATTGCGCGGCCCGATATTCGGCGCTCTTGTCCACGCTATTTCTCCCCTTCAACTAGACGCTAGTGCGCGCGATACATAATTAGCGCCTTCCCCTCCTGCCCTAACGTACGTCATAAAGGCTCCTGAGCTCCTGACTTCCACCTTCCCGCCCTCTGAATCTGAATAACCGATGCGCCCTGCTTTGCTAGTTGCGTCGCACCACCTATCCTCCCTGAGTGTAGCGCGAAGTGCGTTGGGTTTTCTCCTACTCTTCTCGCCATGTCTCTCAACGCTGTTGTTGCTTCCGACCTCGACACTACTGCCCACCGTCCCTGCTTGACCGACTGCATGAGCGGCGCGGTACTTCCTAACTCTGGGTGCACGTCAAGCAGATTCAGCAAAATCTCGAGCGCCCCCATCTTCTCAGCCATCTGTCCCACTTCCTCGTCCCGCGTTGATCTCTCTCTCGTCACTACCGCGCCTCGCCTCTTTTGGTCCGCTTTCGATGCGCGAAAAGTCACTTCTACTCTGTCTGCCCGCCTTCTTTCGTCCCACGCTAGCCGGCACGATCCTTCGAAGAATACGAGGTTCCCTCTCGTAAGACAAAAATCGGCGTGTACTAATCCGTTGTGGTAGGCCCACAGCTCAGACGCTCGGCACAGCAAGAAATACGAGAGAGCGATCCCCATCCATGTCACCAGTCTGAAAACATCCGTCAGCGATCTTTCTCTCCCCGCTATAATCATCGGCACGGTGAGCGGTTGCCTTACCAACTGTTTCGTCTCTGCCCTCGCATGCAGTCTGTCTATTGCGTTCCCAACAGCTGCCACTCTGAAGTGCGACGTGGGCAGCTCCCAGCCTGCGTACAGTTTATGGAAGTACTTGATAGCCGCGAGGTACCCCTTCACCGTTTGGCTCTGGTTCTTATACATTAAGCACCTCGATGCCATAAACACAGTCAGCTCTCTCACTGCGCTATCCACGCCGTCCTCCTCGTACAACCATGGACTCAGATTCGCTTTAGCTCTTTAATCTGTCCACGTGCCCCACTTGCTGTGGTATCCTTTCAGCGTGCTCGCGTTCAGGGAGCCGTGCTCCATTATCCTGAGGAGCCTTTCGCCTTCATCGCTCGTTCCCTTCGTCCCGTGTTCGCTTCCTGTACTTGAACACGTTAGGGTCATGACACCTTCGTTAGTTCTTTTGCTCATCATTCTCGTCTTACTCTTACTACTTCTTTTCTTTACACGCTTGCCATGCGACTCCATACGAGGCCATCCATTCTTTGGTTCTGGAGTTTCTCTTGCAGTATCATTTCAATTAGCTCTCTTCCGGTGTCTCCGATGTCTTGCATTCGCCAGTTATTATCATGCGTGAGTCTTTCCACATTGACTTGTACGTCCTCTGACTTCCATCTAGATATCCCGTCCGCGAGGGTATTCTCGCGTCCCGGCATGTGTTTTGCCACATGACACCATCCGTTTTCAATCTCCATGCGACCAAGCAGTCTCATGAGCAGTCCCGCTCGCCTGTCTCTCGAGCCCCCGCATCTGTTCACCCACGACACCGCCGACATATCGTCTCCCCTCATCATGATAGCTTGTCCGTGTTGCGTCGGCTTTTCTCCCACGACCATTTGGACCACCCAACATGTAATTATCATTCCGAGCAGTTCTAGAGTGTTGATCGTGATCGCGCTGGTTTCTTTGGCTTCCGCTTTCCTTTTCAGCTCCGCGGTAAACGCGGGTTTAAATCGATACCGCCAGAATA